GTGTCCCGGGGCCGGAACCAGGATCAACTCCGTGGCAGTCCAGCGACACAGCCATTACGCTAACTGCTGGTCCCATCCATTTCTTATCTATAAAACTTAAGACTATTTGAAACCATTCTCTTTATAAACCATAATGATCTGTCAAGGTTCTGTGCAGAAAACAAAAACTTTTAAAAAATATTTGAAGACTTATACTGCAGGAAATTATTGCTTTCAAAAGTTGGTAGGCAGACGGGAACCAGCAGTTAGCGTAATGGCTATGTCGCTGGATTCCCACGTAGTCGACCGCGGTTCGTGTCCCGGACGGGCCCAGTGGCTTAAACTCATGCCAGGCGCATATGCATGTGAGCCCAAGATCCCGAGAGGAGAATGGAGGAGAAGAGATTGTGGCGTGGCCATCCTCCTTGGGGGGTGATTTCTCGCTGTCTCTCTTTCTCTCTCTGTCTGTCTGGCGAGCGCACGCCCCCTCCAGTGAAAAACTCCAAAAAAAAAAAAAAAAAAGTTGGTAGGCAGGGGACCAGCAGTTAGCGTAATGCCGATGTCGCTGGACTACCATGTAGTCAACCGCAGTTCGAGTGGCTTAAACTCACGCCAGGTACACGCCAGGTACACGCCGGGTACATGTGCGTGTGTGCCCAAGATCCCAAGAGGAGAATGGAGAATGAATTGCAGCATGGCCATCCCCCCTGGGGGGTGATTTCTCGCTGTCTCTATGTCTCTCTCTGTCTTTCTGGCAAGTGCAAGCACCCCCTGGGAAAAAAACTCTCCAAAAACAGAAAAAAAAATGTTGGTAGGCAGGATGGAGAAGTAATAGGGGCACTTTAGGACTATTCATTTCAAGGTAGACCCTCATAACTGATTCAGGGGTCAAGAAATCACTGTTGCTGGCACCAGTAACACCTTACAGCCACAGTACATGAAAGAAGACTCTGGAACACAGAGTGCAGCTGCAGCAAGTATGACAGAACTTGCATGTCTGCTTTACCTAGAGAACACTCAGTACACCATACAAACACACAGACACATATGAATGGGTGCACACAGCTATGTAATTAGTACTCATCCTTTAAGATTCAGTTAAAAATCACATCCATGGGACAAGTAGATGGCATAATGTTTATGTTGCTGGACTCCCACAAAGTCAACTGTGGTTCTTCAAATCCTGGACCTGACAGCTTAAAACTCAAGTCAGGCATGTGTGCACACATGCCCAAAGTCCCGAGAGAAGAATAGAGAAGAAGGGATTCGGTATGGCCATCCCCCTGAGAGGTGATTTCTAGCTTTCTATCTCTGTCTCTCCAGGGAGCACGTGTACCTAACAGCAAAAATCTCTCTTAAAGAAAAAAAAAAAAATATATATATATATATACACACACACACACAGTTAGGCTTTCTCTGATCTCTCGCAGATTATTGTTTCTTGGTTACATCCTCATAGTACCTGTGAAAATTATTTCAAATTCATTTGCTGTCTCTTATCAGATTGAATGTCTATGAGAAAAGGATCATATTTGTTAATTATTACAATGATTATTGGGACCACCACTTGGTGAAATGGCTATGTCGCTGGACTCCCATGCAGTCGACCATGGTTCGAGTCCCGGACCTGGTGGCTTAAATGCACGCAGGGCGCATGTGCATGTGTGCCCAGGATCCTGAGGGGAAAATGGAGGAGAAGGGACTGTGACATGGCCATCCCCCCTGGGGGAGGGGGGGTGATTTCTCACTTTCTGTCTCTCTGTCTCTTTCTGGTGAGCACACACCAGAAAGATAGAGATCATTGCCCTATAGCAAAAAAATACCTCTCTAAAAAAAAAGTATTACAATGATTATCAAAATGTTTTCTAAATAAACAGCATTAGTGACACCTGAGAACGTGTGAAAAATGCAACTCATGGCTTCAAATCAACTGAAACAGAAACTCTGGGGTTTAATAATCAGCGTTTTATCGAGCCTTCCTGATAATTTTGACATTCCACAGAAGCTGAAAGCCATTGGATTACCATTAAGTCATCGGGAACATCATGACATATTTTCCTATGCTTTTCTATGCAAAAATGCATCATGACTTTCCCTACAACCCAATATATCCAAGCCCACTGCATTACATAATACATATGAGTGATGCTCAATACATTTTCTTGAAATATAAATTAAGCCCACTGGAAATGTACTGTGAATTACCCTCACCAAAATAATAATATCCTTTGTTGGAGACAGAAACCAGTCCAGGCCTAAGAGATAAGCCAGAAGAAAAGAATGCAGAAGGGATTTGAAAGTAACCCCATTCCTAGACGGAAAGCCACAGGGACTGTATGGTCAACCGGATGGAGCTCCAAGCATGGACTATGTCTCAAGATGTTGGGAGACATTTCACAAGCCAAGATATTGTCTGAGTACTAAGTTAATGATTGCTTTTGATCTTTTACCACGAAAATAACCTACACAGAATGTCATGTAAATTGTACACTGTTGTTTATAGCCAAACTCACTCACTGCTTATCTAATTTAATTTACAATAAATGGGCTCTGCTCTCATGCAGTTTTGACATTTCACAAGCCAAGATATTGTCTGAGTACTAAGTTAATGATTGCTTTTGATCTTTTACCACGAAAATAACCTACACAGAATGTCATGTAAATTGTACACTGTTGTTTATAGCCAAACTCACTCACTGCTTATCTAATTTACAATAAACAGGCTCCGCTCTGGTGCAGTTTTACTTCTGTTCCAAGAGAGCTTTAGCCCCCGGCTTTAACTGTATCTTTCTCTCATCTCAACCCTCCACAACACCCTATCTTCAAGCCCTAAATTTCTCACAATCCTTAGCACGGAGACCAGGTTTACTAGTCTCCCACTAAAGATTACAGTAAGGCAAATCTTAAGAAGTAGTAAATATTTTTGCGAGAAATACCAGTCACAGCGAAAGAGTTCATTATATACAAAATGATATTAGAGATCAAAAATCTTAACACAATTTTTACTTAATTTGCAGCTTTAATTTTCAACATTACTGGATCCACTGAATTACAGTATCTTCACATGCCCATTAACTAAAAATAATTTCTATGCAGAACTCAAGAAATATTGCAAGCTAATGCTATAAGTGCATATTTGTTTATAATGTGTTTGTTTGCTCTTCCATAGAAGTGTTTACGAATTGCATCTCTTCAAAGAAAAATTTACATATAATTCCTATCGATCATTCTACCATTAATCTTCTAATATCAGCAAGATAAGAACTCTTAGTGAACACTTTTCTTACCTCAAATATCTTTTCAGTGTGAGCTCTTTGATGTAGAATGAGGGATGCACTCGAACCTAAGGACTTTCCATGATTTCCAAATTTTCTACATTCATAGATGTTCTCTCCTGGATGGGTTTGTAAGAGATTCATATTGCCAGGACCAGCAGTTAGCATAATGGCTATGTCACTGAACTCCCACATAGCCAACTGCAGTTTGAGCCCTGGACTCGGTGGCTTAAACTCACGCCGGGCGCGTGTGTGTGCATGCCCAAGATCCCGAGAGGAGAATGGAGAAGGGATTGTGGCGTGGCCATCCCCCTAGGGGGCGATCTCTCGCTTTCTACCTCTCTGTCTCTCTGTCTTTCTGGAGAGCGCACACGCCCTATATTGCGGGAGAGCGCACACTCCCTATAGCAAAAATCTCTCCAAAAAAAAAAAAAAAAAGATTCATATTGCCTACAGTCTTTCTCATATTTGCTGCATGTATAGGGATTTCCTCTACTGTGGATTTACATGTGTTATGGGATTAATACTAAAGGTTTTCTCACATTGAATGTCTTCATATGTGGTGAGTCTACAGTATGAACTCTAAGATACAATAAGGTTTGTTTGCATTATTGCTAAAGGTTTTCCCATATTCACTACATTCATAAGACTTTTTCTCCAGTATGAATTTTCTGATGTTGAATCAGAGAAGATCTATGGCTGAAGTTTGACAAATACTGTCTCATGTATTTTCTCTCATATATGATTTCTCACATGTATACTGATTCATGTGGTCGAAAGGCTTTTCTATACTAACTACACAACTGGGTTTTTCTCCACTATGTATTCTTTGATGGGCAGTAAGATTTGAGCCTTTGCTAAAAGCCTTCCCACATTCATTACATTTATAAGGCTTTTCCCCAGTATGAATTCTCTGATGTACAGTAAGGTTTGAACTACAGCTGAAGGTCTTCCCACACTTACTACATTCATAAGGTTTCTCTCCAGTATGAATTCTGTGATGTTGAAGCAAGGATGACCTATGACTGAAGGCTTTCCCACATATACTGCATTCATAAGGTTTCAATCTAATGTGATTTCTCAAATGCATATTCAGTGATTCAGGATGGTTGAAGGATTTCCTGCATTTCTGACATTCAAAGGGCTTTTCTTCTGTATGAATACTCTGATGCTGAGTGAGAAATGAGAGGCTACTAAAGACTTTCAGACATTTGTTACATTCGTATTGTTTCTCTACAGTATGAATTCTTTGATGTCGAGTAAGGTGTGAGCTACAACAAAAAGCTTTCCCACATTCACTACATTCATAAGGTTTCTCTCCAGTATGAATTTTTTGATGGTGAATAAGAGATGACCTATGAATGAAAGCCTTCCCACATATCCGACACTCATAAAGTTTTTCTTGAGTGTGAATTCTCAGGTGTTCAATGAGATGTGAAACACGACTAAAAGACTTTCCACAGTTCATACATTCATACGGTTTCTCTCCAGTGTGAGTGCTTTGATGATTAGTAAGTGATGAAACATGGCTAAAAGCCTTCCCACATTCAACACATTTGTAAGGTTTCTCTCCACTATGGCTTATCTGATGTCGAGTAAGGGATGAGCCATGGCTAAAAGTCTTCCCACATTCACGACACGCATAGGGCTTCTCTCCTGTATGAATTCTCCAGTGTCGATTAAGGATTGATTGTTTGCCAAAGGCTTTCCCACATTCACTACATGTATAGATTTTCTCTCGATTACAAGTCTGGTGAAGAGTAAGAGAGTTGCTCTGGCTGAAGGCTGTCACAGTTTCATTAGAATTCACAAGTTTCTTTCTGCCATTGACCTTCTGGTTCTTTATAACTGACTTTTTTTGCAAGCTCTTCTTCAATATATCATATTTATGTGATTCCCCCTTTGCAGAAACTCTCTGTGGCTCAGAAAAAGTAGAATTTAAATGCAAAATGCTTCTAAATGTATTGTACCTATAAGCACTTTCACCTTTTGGGCTTTCTCTGAAGGTGAAGGTCACTGGTCTGAAATGTTCTATTTGACTTCCATACTTACCTTTCTCTATATAGTCCCAGTCCTTGTTAAAATTTGAAAATTCATAATTTTGTTTTACCATTTCTCCTTTTATTACCATTTGAGGTGAATCTTTGTCATAAATATTCTCCTTTGCTGGTAATTTCTTGTTTTGCCATCTTGATTCTCCATCTGAAATATATCAAGAAAGCAGACACTTTTTTCTGTGCTTCTTAAAAAGAAATTGCTATGGTAGAAATAGGAGAATTGGATAAGAAATAAAGCCCTCAGAAAACACAAGGCTCTGACAACTCTCATATATCACAGAGATTTCAGAACAATATTCAAGTAGAGTGCAGAGAATAAAAACAGCTCAGAGAGGCAAGTATAGAATGTGCTAAGAAAAATTAGTAAAATATAGGCAATTAGTAGGTAAAAAATGAGACCATCAGAAAGAAAATTAGGAAGGCATTCGGAACTCCAAACCATCATTTTGTACATATAATCAGATAAAAGGACACGTTTTGCCTCCCAGCCACAGATTCAATTAATCTCAATGTGCTTGCTGCCAGATTAATATGCTTAAAATACAGAATCCATACTACTATATTAAACAATTACAGTGAGAATAAGAAAATCTAAATGCTCTTTATTGCTCACAAAGATTTAGGCTTTCTGGCTTTATGTAGGATCTGTTTCAATCATATGATAATTTACTATACATTAGAAAGTATGATTCCTAGTATTTTTATATGTTCCTTACTTCTTCTAACACTTATATTCACATTTGAACTATAAAACTCAGTTTTAGAGGAAAAGCAGTCTTCCATTTAACTGAGTTTTTCTTGGCCTAAAACTAATTTACCTTAAGTAGATTTAAAAAAGAATCATTGCCTTATTTTGTTTCAAATACAATAACAATGTGAATTAGTATGATATTAATAATCTCCACCTTAGATGACATGACAAATAATAATTTGGGATAAAGAAATAGTTATTTTGGGGCCACATAGTGGTTAAGGATGCTGGGCCCCCACATGGCCAACCATGGTTCAAGTCCCAGACCTGGCAACTTGCTTTCTCTCTCTGTTGCTCTCGCTCTGTCCCTCTCTGGTCAAATTAAATAAATAAATAAAGTTAAATAAAGAAATTCTTTAAAAAGAAAAAAATAGTTATTTTAAAATCTAAGCTATAGATGCCTCAATTCTGTTTACATCCAGGATCTCTGAAGACAGCATCCCTAAAATACCTCCATACTCACTATAAGCATCTTTAACAAAAACCTCCTTCACATAATTCACCGGGACTCACTTGGAAAAATACCTTTTAACAGCTTTTCCTCCACCATCCAGGGCTCTTTTCCATCCTCCAATAAAGTGATCACATATGGCTTGGTTATGGAAAGACCTGCTTACAGAAAAAATATAGAACTTGGTTAAACTGTGGTCCTCAAGGATGAGAGGCCATAACATGAGGGAACAAAAGAAGGGGTGAGGAATGTTTACTGAAATAGGATTATAAACTTCAGGGAGGGCACAAAAGAACTGCACAATTCTGGTAACACGGTATAGAAATCCAGTCCTTTACTTAGGAGGAACTCCAAGATTCAGAATGGCAAAAGAAATATCTCTCTTATTTCAGTAGAGGGGGAGCTATCCTTACCTAGAGAGACCAGGTTCTTGTAATTCTGGACCATCACATCCTTGTATAAATCCCTCTGGGAAGAATCTAGCCATCCCCACTCTTCATGAGAGAAGTCTATAGCCACATCACTAAATGTCACCTGAAATAGCAAAGACATTTAGGCTCAGCTATAGCCCAGGCCTCTTCTGTCACTGCACAGGGGGTAAAATTGCATTGGTTACAAAGGGAAAAAAAAAAAAAAAACAAGATTCATGGGTCATGGTAATAATTGGGAACCTGACCTCAGTTAAGTAATAATAACTAGATAATTTATGTGCTTGGCATTGTTATACAATAAGGGTGATAAACAAATGTAAGAGCTTTGCTTCAGGAAAGTTAATTTTGTAAGAGAATTATATATCATTTTAGAAATAGAACACTGCAAATTATACACTCTGTATATTCATTTCATCCCAACAGCCCCAAATAGAATTATACAAATGTTAAGAATGTATTTACATTTATTTATTTATTTATTTATCTCATTTAATTTGACCACAGAGGGACAGAGCTAGAAAGAGAGAGAGGGAAAGTGAGAAAGCAAGCTGCCAGATCCAAGACTTGAACCACGGTCCATCATGTGGGAGTCTAGTGCTCTTAACCACCATACCACCTGCCAGCCCCAGGATTATACAATTTTTTAAAGATCAGCATTCAACATTTGATGGCATATAGTCAAGTGCTTAGTTATGTCTTTTATAGGATTAAGTGCTAGGCTAGTTATAAAAAAATGAGCTAAAGCAGTTGTCTCCCAAGTGGGATACTTAAGAAAATCCACTAAGGTTCAAGAAAAAAAAATAATTAATGCTGTTATCTCAGGAGTAGATTTCTTTTTTTTTTTTTGGGGGGGGGGGGGGTTTTTACCATAGGGGACCGG